TTATTAAATATCTTTTAATATTTTTATTTCTCTGTAATTATACATACTGGTTATAGCTTTTGCTCCTTGCATTTCAGCTGATATAAAATCGGAGTTAGTGGCGAGAAAAGACGCAACCATAAATGCATCAACTCGGGATAAATTGTCAGATCGTGCCTGACTGTAACCAGGATCTACTTTTCTTCGGGGCATTTTTGTTTATTTATTGATTATTTATCACTAACGATACTGTCAAACTGGTACCACTCGGCATATATAAACACTAAACATGTTCATAACCTCCATATACCACTATTTACGTCAGTTTTTTAAGAAAAATTTTCCGCCAAATCCATTATCAATTTTTTTTAATACTTTCAGTGAATTCTTACATTAATTATTAAATATAATGAAACTTAAAGTAATAAAGTTATAAAAACTTAATTTGAACTTTTTAAACACTGTAAAATACCATTTACCACTTAATATGGATCACGTGACTTTTTTTATCATTTAGTACCACTTTTATTTATTTATTTATTTAAGAATTACTTGTTTAAATTAATTTTTAATTTTTTTCCCTAGTCTTTTACTTATTAAAGAATGCGTTAATTACATTTTTATGCAAATACCCAATTACTAGAGGTTTCAAAAACTGCGCCGAATGTCACCAACCGCGTAAAAATCGGTTCATTCATTCAAAAGTTATTGCGGTTTGAAAATTCAAAAATAGTGTTTTATCAAACTTTTATCAGACTTTTGAACTCGAAGAGCTCTCTTTGAGCTCGGAGAGCTCAAAATAACACAAAAATTGTACTTTTGAGCTTGAAGAGCTCAAAAACAAAATAAGTGAAATGTTGAGCGTTTAGGTATGGAGTTAGCGGGAAGTTGCACGGATGGCCTTAAGGGTCAACCGTTTTTCTAATTTTTTATACTGTATACATGCTGAAAAAATTCAAAACATAAAACAAGTAAGAAACATATTGAGTTTTTTTAGGGGCCCGTTTTACCCTACTTTTCTCAATTTTTCAATTTCGATAGATACAAAATAATTAATATCATTATCTCAGTAAAAAGCCAAAAAAGTAAAACAAGCTGAAAAACTCATGTTATAAAAATTTTCTGAAGGTGACCCATTTTGTCCCACATTTTCAATTTTTTATTTTCAATGAACATAGCAAATTGAGATCAAATACTTGGCAAGAGACTAAAAAAAACTAAAACCATAGAAAAACACTAAGGATTTCAACAATTTTTTCTTAAGGGGCCCTGTAAAATGCTGAAAGAGCGGAAAAACTAAGGATCAGGTTTCGGTCTGGTTATCTCAATTAAAATACAAAAATTATTAACAAAAATAACACTAGATATTTATTAACAATAAATACACTAAATATTTAACTAGTTCAATAGCGGATTGCTTAAATAAAAGCGGATATGTAATACACAGCGTGGTTAGCAAAAGCGAAGCCGGTTATCACGTGGTTGAATAAACTGCCGGCACTGTAAAAAGCGGTAATTATTGCACAAATAATTGTAAGTTATCTGAAACAGACTAAAGCGAATTATTAGCAAATTAATTAAGCAAAGAAAATTATTTAAAGGCGAAAAAGCGGTTAATTTAGAAAGCGAAATTTATGTATGCGAAAATGCGACTTGACAAGCGGGAAGATGGATGCGAAAGATCATAATAATAATTCGTCTTCTTCCTCGTCTTGAAGAAGAAGGCTACTGCGCATGTCTAGCGAGAGCGATAGCCAATCAATAAATTCGTTCTATTGATGTCGACATCGATAGCCAATGGTAAAATTCGATACATCTGGCGTGATCAGTCAAGCGGTTTGCGCAAGCGGGTGAGAAATTGCGGGAACGATCGCTTGTCAGGTGCGTGTTGTAAATTTGGGGAGCCCACAGTGACGTATTGCTCACTGAGTGGGCCTGTTCACTGAACAGGCCCATTTTGCCCCCCCCCCCTCTTCCCCTTATTGCCAAATTTTTTCTCAGTGTACTCTCTTAAATCGAAATAGTGACTATTCACTATTTAGTAGTGAAAAGTATACCACTATTTGAATTAGTGATCTACTCTCCACTGCAAAAATAGTGAATAGTCACTATAGTGGACCCTAGTCACTATTCCGATTTAAAAGTAATTATTCAAAAAAAAAAAAAAAAAACATAAAACATCACTTATACCCTGTATTTTATTTATTTTTTCTAACATCATTAAACTCATACATTTGCATATACAATATATAATAAAATAATTATTTATAATATCCAAAACTAATGTCGTGTAACGGCGCAGCAGCATCCTGAGGAAGAGCATACTCCCTAGCTAATTGATCGAGAACCCCCGCATTGTGTGCCGCGCGTTGAACATTACGAGTCAGACTAGAGGGTTGGGCTTCCCGAGCAGGAGCAGGGTTGAACTGAACAGGTCCTTGATTGAGCGCCTGAGAAACAGGAGGCCGTTCTTCATAATCGAACTGCTGAGAAAACTGAGATTGTGCTGCTGGGGTGAATATCGGAGTCTTTGGCTGGGCAGCGTATTCTTGAGGCGGTTGATATTGTGGCCGTTGTGGTCTGGGTTGCTGGGGTGGTGGAGGAGGTGCTGGCCTTTGTACTTCTTGCTGCTTGAAGTTCGCTGGTCCTTGAGGGTAGTCATAATCTATCGGCTGTTGGTTTTTGTCTGTGGTATCATCAACCAACGTCGGTGGGGCGACAGTGATGCCTTCTCCAGAGGGTTGGAATCCGTATTGGTTGGCACCGTATTCAACTACCCGGACTTTGCCCGTGTCGTCGACGAAACCGTATTTTCCCTTAACTTCTCCGTTAGCAAGCTTTGTTTCGATTTTGAAGGAACCGTCGGCTCCTTCGAACCCGTAAGTGTAAGAGCCATCCTCATTGTGCCGGTTTATTTGCTTCAGAATTGCCACTGGGGGAGTTGGTTTCGCTGCTATTGCTTTTCCTTCTCGTGGTGCAGGGGCATTGGCGTAATTTCGCTGAGGAGCCTCTTCTTGTCTTCTATTGTAGCCGTTCTCGTAATCTTCGTAGTTATTTGATCCAGCTTGTGGCTGCTGATATTGGCTGTGACATGTCGTCATTAATAGGCCTAATATTACCTGGAAATATAAAAAGATAAATAAATTAAAATAAAAATAATAATAATTCTTAAAAATGATTATTTTAATATTATAAATAGATACACAAGTATTAAATTAATGTTACACAGGAAGAAAAATTTCTTGATTGGAGAACAAAGTTTTTGGTTCAAGAAAATTTTCGGGTGCCTGAAGGGAGACCGAAGTTGTGTTGGCCGAAGTAAAAATTTTTCTTGAAATTCTATTCTTGGTTGAAGCCATTTTTTCTTAATTCAAATTATCATAAATACTTGATACAATAAATTTTTATATTTGATCAAGATTTTTAGATACTTTAGGGAAGCAGCGCCACCTACTTCAGCTGAGAAAAAAAGTTTCTCATCTTGAGAAAATTTTTCTCTTGAATATTTGATACCCATTTTATATTATTTTAGCGTGCAATTATACATATTAAATGAAAAATAATAATTCAATATTATTTGATCTTCCCATTTGACATGTTAATCAATAAAAATATTAATTGAAAATTTACTTCTATCGAGATATTTAATTTTTTGGAGCAAGAGAAAAATTTAATTTTTTTGGAGCTAGAGGCTGAATTTTCTCAAAACAACAAGATTTTCTTGACTTAAATAAATTTTCTTGAATCAAAATACGTATTTTTTAAAGCAAGAGAATTAATTTTTTTGGAATAAGTGAAATTTCTTGTGTCAAAAAAAAATTTTTTTTCGCTCAAGAAAATAATTAGGAAGAAAAATATTTTCTTGGCTCAAATGAACCTTTTTTTCTGTGTGAAGTTTTTTGGGCGTTATCGTGACCACATACATCATCTGCACATACAGACAACCCGACGTCCACCGAAATATTTTTTCAAAACGGTTTTTTTTCTATACTATCTAGAAAAAATAGTGTTTTTTAAAGTATCTACTGTCATAAAAAAGTATTCTTGTTGATATTTGTCAACTCATTTAATATTCCAAGTGCAAGAAGATCGGATAAAATCAATTTAAGCCGAGATAATTGCTTGACCTTGAAAGAATGAGAGTAAAGCACTACTCAAACGCTTCGCGTTATGAGACGTGCAATAATTTTTAATTGTTGTGTTTTACTCCAAAAAATAATTATTGGATTAACACCAAATTCCTTATCAAATCATATTAAATTAGTTAAATTTAAACATTATCATAATACAAGACAAAAAAATCAATTACAAACAGACAAGACAAGAACACACACTACTGAAAAATCGATCTCATATTTGGGATTCAATTTTTACGATCAATTCTGATCATATCAAAACTGAAGCCAGAATTAATATGCATAAGAAATTAATAAAGAATTATATTAAAAGCAATATTACACTTTAGATTTAGATTGTCGGGCAAAATAACAAAATAACATATTAGAGAAAAAAAAAAAACAATTATAAATCAAACTTATTATGTAAATCTATATCTATACCAATAAATGGAGAGCCGGTTTTTTTTGTCCGGTTATATTGCGAAAACTACTGAACCTATCGAAATAATACTTATACTTATAACATACAACGCAGTGTATTTCGGAGAAGATTTTAGTAATATGATTTGTTGGTAATTACTTATCCGGAACTTATATTTTTTTGACGTAAAATAATGAATTTATATTGTAACTAAATTTATTCTATTCGATTGTGATTTGTTTAAAATAAATTTTCTAATTCTATCGATCACGTTTATATACTAGGCAGATTTCTTCACTTATGAGATCTGCAATTTCTTCAACTGAAACTTTCAATGCTAATTACAAATTTTTTTTTTCATATCAATTATTATTCATTTTTGTAAGAAACACACGGGAATGTTATAATGATTGCACATTGAAAGTTATAATGAATATTATCTAGAATAATTACATGGATGAAAGGTACATGCCAATTCGGTAGAATTTGGAATTTGTGCAAGTCTAATTAAATTTCAAGTCTAGATCTAAAAATGCAATTCCATAAAGCGCCCAGCGGAGCGGGCGAGTAACAATTAGTAAAAAATATGTAAATACACCTGTATATATATTCAGAAATATTGTATATAATATATCAAGCTGCTAAACATTAAATAAATTATTATTATTATTGGGAATTTTTTTTTAATTTTTGGAAATGGTTCTTAAAAAAAATTGTATTGATTAAAAAAAAAAAATATTGAACAAGAAAATTATTTTGAAAATTTTTATTATTTTGAAGCTTGCTCTAATAAAATCGTAAATCTATATAAAATCCTAATATAACTGAGATTATAAAAATCTAAGTAGAAATAAAATTGTTAACAGGTTTCTTTTACGAGTGATTAAATTTTATATAACATTCGCTTGCGGATAGCTATAAATATAAAAAGGGAAAATTGTAATAGTAAAATGATACCGTTGGCGAAATACGCAAATCTGATTAAAAATAAAATCGTTTCGACATTTTTTGTGAGCTGTTTTATAAGATAAAACATTTCCATTACTGTTTAACTACTTTTATTATTACTATATAATCATTTAGGGAGCTAAGGCTTCAGGGTCTAAAATTTTGATAAATAAATAAATAAATAAAACTATAATTTTTAATTCTGATTAAAATTGAATATTTTAAAAATTAATACAAAATTGTCTCTGATAATTAACCGGAGTCTATGTAAATAATTTACAATTTTCTTGAACCAAGAGTTAATAGATAATTTTAAGTAAATTATTTTTTTTTATTCGGTAATTTATTATCAGTACCACTTCAATTAAATATTATTCAATTAAATATTATAACAAGTCAACAAGTTTGTGAAAAAATATAATTTATGTTGTCATACGTGACAATAAATTAATAAAAGTCACTGTAAAGGTGAAGGCAAATTACCCGCTGTAAAATTTATAACAATTTTATAATAACTGTACGTAATTATTCAGGACTTTTGACGTGAATTAACGGTTAGTGGTTGATAATCTTGAAAACTAAAATTTTTAGTTGCTTTTAAAATAACGTAGAATAAACAAATTTTTCCTGTTATTGTTATAATTTTCATCACCAGACAAACACTATAAATGTAAATATATAAAATTGCACTTATTAATTCCGGTATGTAAAACATATTTATAATTTTGAGTAATTTTTGTACTGTCAGAAGCCATAACTAACTTTTTTTGTCAATTGTTTTTTATGGATACATAATTAAGAAGTTAATAAAATAAATTGTAATTTTTATTAAAAAAAATAAAATAATTTTCACTAAAAAAAATATGATGAAATTTCAAAAAATTTTTTTCATTATCTTTTTTATATTATTCACAAAATAAATTAATATTAAAAAATTCACAGAATTTTTTTTCACTAAAATTTAAAATTCAATTTTTAAATTAAGAAATAATTTTGCCTATTTTTTAATAATAAATATCAATATAAAAAATATGAAAAAATTTCTTAAATTTTTTTCATTATTTGTTTTTTAATTTTATTCACAAAATAAATTAATATTAAAAAATTCACAGAATTTTTTTTCACTAAAATTTAAAATTCAATTTTTAAATTAAGAAATAATTTTGCCTATTTTTTAATAATAAATATCAATATAAAAAATATGAAAAAATTTCTTAAATTTTTTTCATTATTTGTTTTTTAATTTTATTCACAAAATAAATTAATATTAAAAAATTCACAGAATTTTTTTTCACTAAAATTTAAAATTCAATTTTTAAATTAAGAAATAATTTTGCCTATTTTTTAATAATAAATATCAATATAAAAAATATGAAAAAATTTCTTAAATTTTTTTCATTATTTGTTTTTTAATTTTATTCACAAAATAAATTAATATTAAAAAAATTCACAAAATTTTTTTTCACTAAAATTTCAAGTAAAAATTAAAAATTCAATTTTTGAATTAAAAAATAATTTTGTCTATTTTTTAAAAATAAATATCAATATAAAAAAGTTTCAAAAAATTTTTTTCATTATTTTTTAAATTTTATTCACAAAATAAATAAATATTTAAACAATTCAAAGAATTTTTTTTCACTATAATTTTCAGTAAAAGTTTGGAATTCAATTTTTAAATTAAGAAATAATTTT